TGTGACTTTGTAAATGACCTAAGTTAAGGGTGTGGCAATGCATTTTCTTTGAGAACTAATGAAAACGTCTTTTTAAATTTTGCTTGAATAAATGATGTTTTCATTAAACTCTTAACAGTACAGAGACATAGTCGATTCAACTTTTGCTGATATTATTATACTTCCTCAAACTTTCTCTTAGTTGCAAATTGCTCATGAATCCTTTGTACAACACTTAAAAGTAGAAACCAAATGTTAAAAAAAAAAGAACTTAAAAGGTTAATCATTACTATTAACAAGTAATGGAATGGATATATCTTTTATCATTTTGAGCAAATCCTATATAATGAGATAGCTAGTTAATATGGGTTCTGTGTCTCTCTCTTGGTCTATTGGTACCACATACCTTTCTTTTACAGATAGAATGTCTTTCTGTGGAAATACATTGTTCACTTGCTCATTGCCTCCCCTAGTAAGCTCCAGGTTTGTTGAACATCATGCATGCCCAGCAGAAGGATAATCTGTAGTATGTGGAAAATCTCAGTAGATATTTATTATTTTACTACTAAATGGGTGGAGAGATGGCAGATGCTACTAATAGCGTCTTCTGTTCATTAGGCTGTTGACAAGGGCACGTGTTATCAAACCCACCAGGAACACTGTAGTGGCTTGGGTATGGCTTGAGTGTGATTAAGAGATGGTGTCTCCAGGGTGGTGGCCTTGAGAAGTGCTATAGAACCTTAAGGTGTGGGGCCTAGTGGGAGGTCCTTAGGTCACTTGGGGAGTCCTCTTGGAAGGAATTGTTGTGGTTAGAGATATAATCATTTGCTAGCTCCCACACAATTGATATATACACCATGAGGTTATATAGTTAAGGGGCAGCTCTTGCCATGGGGTTATGCTGTACCATCTATACTTCCAGCCTCCAAATCTGTAAGCTTAATATGCCTTTTCTTCTTTATAAGTAGCCTGTGTCAAGTATTTTGTTATAGCCACAAAAAACTGATTAATGTAATACTTTTGTCCCACTTTTAACTCCTTGTTTACTTTTGGGGTGGCCTGGATATCACTTTCCAGAGACGTCTTCTCTGTTGCTGCAGAGAAGCAGAACTGTCCTAAATACAGTAGACAGGTCTCCTGCATTTATCCAACATTTAGATGAGGCTCTGTGAAAGCAGACTGTGTCCACCTTGCATCCCTGATGCCTTGTTATTGATGTCTGAACAGGCACACAATAAGTACTTACTCAAAACACTCATTTTGGAACCAGCAGGTGGATGGCATTGTGAAGCAAATATTATGCCGTGTTTCACCTCTCATTTTTGAAGACTATCCTTTAGTTTGTGTTTCTTGCCATATATTTGAGGGGACAGTGGGTTTTTGTTGTTTGTTCACAACTGTGCCTTTCATTCAAAGAAAAGTGCCAAATGAAAGCACAGTCACCTGGTCACTGTTCTGAGTTATGCTTCTGCTGTCAGTCTCACCCTTAAACCGTAATCAGCTGAAGTTGTGCTTGTGTGTGTCTTGATGGCTCTTTTGACGACAATGACAATTTGCTTTCGTTTATGTGCTGTCTATATGCTCTTGAAATGTTTTGCTATAAATGACATTAGTTCTGCTTTATTGCAACGATGATGAATATATTTAAAAATCCAGTAGTATTCAACAAAGTTTCAAGTTTGTGTTTTAGTCCAAGAAACTTGCCTTTTATCATTTTAAAAAGTAGCAGGTTTGTTGAGTTAGAAATTTGTTGATTTCCTGTGATACCTGGTGCTGAGGTTCCCGGCAGTGACAGAGACCTCCTCATGCTTTTTGTGTCAATTCATGATTTGCTGATTTGTCTGTAACCTCTTCTACATCCTGGCTCCAGGTAAGAGCAAGACCAACTCCTATATATAGTGAATAATCTGTGACCTCAGCAGAATGAAGTCTTCCAAGGGTCCATAGATGAGGTGGACTACTACTGTGGTCTAATTTTTTGTGGCATGGGAGGTCATGAATACCTGTTCGCTGTTTTCATTGCAAGTTGGACCATCAAAGTCTTGCTCCTAGGGCTGGCAGAGTGGCCCAAGTAGTGGAGTGCCTGCCTAGAAGGCATGAGGCCCTGAGTTCAAGCTCCAGTACTTCAGGAAAGGAAAAAAAACAAAAACAAAAACAAAAAAAACCTTGCTGCTTCCTGAGAAGTACAGGAACTAAACTAGAAATCCCAGATGGTGCAGTAACCTTGCCCATGCTTGAGCTGCATGAGGACTAATGCCTTTACTGTTTTCAGCATGATCTTTCTAAGTGAAAAACCCTACACTGTCCATGGACTTCCCTAGATTTTAAATTTGTAATAAAGACATCAAATCTTGCAATTCTTCAAAAACTAAAGTGTTTTAATATATTTGCAATTGTACAATCATTGCCACTACACAATTATAGAATATTATATCATCCCTAAAAGAAACCCACATCCATTAGGAGTCACTCCCTATTCTTCTGTCTCTGTGGATTCACCTGTTTAAGGTATTTCAAATGAATTTTCTCATGGCCTTTATGTAGCTTCTTTTACTTACATGATGTCTAGAAGATTCCTCTACATTGTAATAATACCTTAATATACAATACTTTACTACTGTTTTTAGTTGACTAATGTTCCATTGTATCACATTTTGTCTGTCTCTTCATCAGTTGATGGATATTTGGATGGTTGTACTTTTTGACTCTTTGGAATGTTGTGACTGTGAACATCTGTATAAGTTTTTGTATGGATATATGACTTCAGTTATGTTGGTTGTATACCTGGGAGTGAATTGCCAGTGTTTTCCAAACTGGTCTCACTGTTTTTTCATTCTTGGCAGCTTCTCCAACATGTTTTATTGTCCCTCTTTTTAATCAGGCATCAAAGAGTGGTATCTTCTTGTTTGATTTGCATTCCTGTAATCATTAGGAATTGTACCTTTTCATGTGCTTACTAGCCATTTGTGTACCTTCTTTGGGATATGTCTATCCAAAAATAACATCCATTGTCCATTTTAAATAGAGTCATCTTTTCCTTGTTGAGATTTGATAGCTCAGTATGTGTTGTGAATGCCAGGCTTTTAAAGATACGGTTTGCACATATTTCTTCCCATTCTGTGGGTCAGCTTTTCATTTTTTTGATGGTGTCCTTTAAAGCACAAGTGTTTTTTATTTTGATGAAGTCTAACTTATTTTTTTATTTGTTGGTCATGCTTTTCATGTCATAACTAAAAAACTATCATCTAGTGTAGGGTTATGAAGTTTGTTCTTACATTTTCTTCTCTTACCTTTAGGTTGATTATTCATTTTGAGTTAATTTGAGTATATGGTGTGAGGTAGGGGTTCATCTTACTATTTTTTTTTACCTTTTGTGGTACTGGAGTTTAAACTCAGGGCTTCACGCTTGCTAGGCAGGTGCTCTACCACTTGAACCATGCCCTTTTTTTGCTTATTTTTGTGGTAGGGTCTCACATTTTTGTCTGGCTGAGCTCAGATCATGATCCTACTGCCTGGGGCCTCCCACATACCTGGGACCACAGGTACATGCCACCATACCCAGCTTATTGATTGAGATGGGGTGTTGCTAACTTTTTGCACAGTCTGGCCTCAAACCATGATCCTCCCAATCTGCCTCCTAAGTAGCTGGGATTACAGGTGTGACCCACCACACCCAGCTTCCAACTTTATTCTTTTGCATATGTGTATCCAGTTGTACTAGCAGCATTGGTTGAAAAGACTATTCTTTCTGCATGAAATATCTTGTCATCCTTTGAAATCAGTTGACCACACTGAAAATCAATTGACCATACACTCGAGGGTTAATTTTAAATTCTTAATCTGTTGGTCAGTATGTCTATCCCTTGTCAGCATCACACTTACTTCATTACTATAGCTTCATACCAAGTTTTAAAATGGAGAAGTGTGAGTCTTCCCATTTTATGTGTCTCTGACCTCACCCCCCAACCCCTTTGGTTTTTCTTCCCTTGGGTCCCTTGTCTTCTTTCCTTCCTCTTCCCCTCTCCCCCCACCAACTTTATTTTGAGAAAAGATTATTCTGTGTAGCCCAGACTGGCTTGCAACCCATGATTCTCCTGCCTCAGCCTCCTGAGTGCTGGGATTACAGGCCTGTGCCATCATTTTTTTTTTTCCACATAAAATTTAGAATGAATTACCCAATTTCTGGAAAAAAACAAAGCAGTAGAATTTGTATAGGGATTGAGTTCAGTCTGTACTGCCCACTATCATTTGATCTAAGACTTAGCTTGTTTTCTTTTGGACTTCCTCATTTAACGCCAGCATCCCTTTGAATGCATCGGTGTGATATTATCAGGGTTCTGTTAGTAATAATTTCATTTTCAAATGATTCATGTATTTAAAAGTTATTCACATGTAATATGTACAAAAGTATACTTTGATGAATATTTATATAGGACACCTATGCAACAAAAGCCCAGATCTAAAAAGAGAACTTTGCTGCTATAACTGGGGATTTTTGATAGTCCTTTGGTTTAGATGTTTCATTTACCTGTATGTTCTGGTAGAGCTTATCTTAACTGTGTGTTTGGAACATAAGTTCTGTAGTGTAGTGCAGTATTTGAAGTCATGGACTTTAGGTCTTGGATGCTTGGCTTCAAATCCCAGCTCTACGACTTAGTAGCTGTTTAACTTAAGCTCTCTGTGCTCCAGTTTCCTTGTATGTAAAAGGGGAATAAAACTTATCTCATAGGAAGGATTATGATGTGTAGATTGATTAGAAAATTGCCCGATGACCATAGTAAGTGCTGAATATGTGTTGCCTATTATTGTTATTGCTGTTGTTATTACTACTACTATTATGTTATCTCTTCACTAGAACACAAGCCTTTTGTCTGACTTAGTACTGTATTCTCAAAGGCTAGTATTGAGCCTTGCATATAATAGATAGTGATTTTTTGGGGAAGGACAGATTTTAAATAACGAACTCCTAAATCCTTCCTGAAACTGCCTTTAACAGCTATACTGTCTTTCTTTTACAACAGCTTTTGGAGCTATTTGACAGTGAAGACCCTCGGGAACGGGACTACTTAAAAACAGTCTTACACAGAATTTATGGCAAGTTTCTTGGTCTTAGAGCATTTATCCGAAAACAAATTAACAATATTTTTCTAAGGTAAGTGGAAGGTACAGGGTCAAAGTTGATCATTTTATAGAAGTATTAAGTAAACCTCCAATATTTGAATATAGTGTACTGACTTTATTCCATCCTTCTCCCTCTCTCCCTTTCTTCTTGCCCTCCTACCTTACCTTACCCTAACCTACCCTATCCTCCCTACCCTATCCTATCCTACCCTACCATACCCTAGGTTTGTTTATGAAACAGAACACTTCAATGGTGTAGCTGAACTGCTGGAAATATTAGGAAGGTAAACACTTGCTATGTAATTGCTAATCTCAGGTGAATGTCCTTCTGAAGATTGGGTTCAGGTAGCACAAGGAAACGCTGATCTAAGTCTCTAGCTACGTGTACAATTGGGTCTTTCTCATTTCCCAACTGACTCTACAAGGCAGGATTTCCTGTTCCCCCGGTTGCATGATTTTGCGTTAGTAATTCTACTGGAGTGATTGAAAATGCTCACGGTTCATTCGTTACTACAGAGGCAATACAGTGGTGAGGCCACTGACATACAAACATTTTACAATTTCTGAGCTCCATGTCCTTTGCTGTATCTGTTGAAAACACATTTACAATAAACTGTAAGGGTTGCTGTCTTCCACAGAACTGTGTACCCAGGTGTAGTTCTTGAACAGCTGCTGCCCACAGTTGTGGAATGAATTGGAAAGAGACAGCTGTTGTGTAGCTTTCTACGCACCAGGGCAGCTGACGTAGCTTGACAATGTGATTACTTAGTTTTTCCTCCTAATGAGGAGAAAAATAAGGTGGGGTCACCTGGATTTCTCTAAGTAAAATTTCAAGAATGAAAAGGAAGATACCTGGGAATCGAAAAGGTTGTATTTAAAGAGAAAGTTTGGCAAAAGTGAAGACAAAAAACATGCAAACAGCTGGAAACTAAATAACTCATTACTTAATGAAGAATGGATCATCGATGAAATAAAAGAGGAAATTAAAAAGTTCCTGGAAGTCAATGAAAATGAAAACACAACCTACCGGAACCTATGGGACACAGCTAAGGCAGTCCTGAGAGGAAAGTTTATAGCCATGAGTGCATATATTAAAAAGACTGAAAGATCCCAAATCAATGACCTCATGATACATCTCAAACTCCTAGAAAAACAAGAACAAGCAAATCCCAAAACAAATAGAAGGAGAGAAATAATAAAAATAGGAGCTGAAATCAACGAAATAGAAACCAAAAAAACCATACAAAGAATTAATGAAACAAAAAGTTGGTTCTTTGAAAAAATAAACAAGATCGATAGACCCCTGGCAAACCTGACTAAAATGAGGAGAGAAAAAACCCAAATTAGTAGAATCAGGAATGCAAAAGGGGAGATAACAACAAACACCATGGAAGTCCAGGAAATCATCAGAGACTACTTTGAGAACCTATATTCAAATAAATTTGAAAATCTAAAAGAAATGGACAGATTTCTAGATACATATGATCATCCAAAACTGAACCAAGAGGAAATTAATCACCTGAATAGACCTATAACACAAAATGAAATTGAAGCAGCAATCAAGAGTCTCCCCAAAAAGAAAAGTCCAGGACCTGATGGATTCTCTGCTGAATTCTATCAGACCTTTAAAGAAGAACTGATACCAACCCTCCTTAAATTGTTCCACGAAATAGAAAGGGAAGGAAAACTGCTGAACACATTTTACGAAGCCAGTATTACACTTATCCCAATACCAGGCAAAGACACCTCCAAAAAGGAGAACTATAGGCCAATCTCCTTAATGAACATTGATGCAAAAATCCTCAACAAAATAATGGCAAACTGAATTCAACAACACATCAAAAAGATTATTCACCAGGACCAAGTAGGCTTCATCCCAGAGATGCAGGGGTGGTTCAACATACGAAAATCAATAAATGTAACAAACAACATTAACAGAAGCAAAGACAAAAACCACTTGATCATCTCAATAGATGCAGAAAAAGCCTTTGATAAGATCCAACATCATTTCATGATAAAAGCTCTAAGAAAACTAGGAATAGAAGGAAAGTACCTCAACATTATAAAAGCTATATATGACAAACCTACAGCAAGCATTATACTTAACAGAGAAAAACTGAAGCCGTTCCCTCTAAATTCAGGAACCAGACAAGGATGCCCGCTATCCCCACTCCTATTCAACATAGTACTGGAATTCCTAGCCAGAGCAATTAGGCAAGAAGAAGGAATAAAAGGAATACAAATAGGTAAAGAAACTGTCAAAATATCCCTATTTGCAGACGATATGATCCTATACCTTAAAGACCCAAAAAACTCTACTCAGAAGCTTCTAGACATCATCAATAGCTATAGCAAGGTAGCAGGATATAAAATCAGCATAGAAAAATCATTAGCATTTCTATACACTAACAATGAGGAAACGGAAAAAGAATGTATGAAAACAATTCCATTTACAATAGCCTCAAAAAAAATCAAATACCTAGGTGTAAACCTAACAAAAGATGTGAAAGACCTCTACAAGGAAAACTATACACTTCTGAAGAAAGAGATTGAGGAAGACTATAGAAAGTGGAGAGATCTCCCATGCTCATGGATTGGTAGAATCAACATAGTAAAAATGTCGATACTCCCAAAAGTAATCTACATGTTTAATGCAATTCCCATCAAAATTCCAATGACATTCATTAAAGAGATTGAAAAATCTACCGTGAAATTTATATGGAAACACAAGAGGCCACGAATAGCCAAGGCAATACTCAGTCAAAAGAACAATGCTGGAGGTATCACACCTGACTTCAAACTATATTACAAAGCAATAACAATAAAAACAGCATGGTACTGGCACAAAAACAGACATGAAGACCAGTGGAACAGAATAGAGGACCCAGATATGAAGCCACACAACTATAACCAACTTGTCTTTGACAAAGGAGCTAAAAATATACGATGGAGAAAAGCAGCCTCTTCAACAAAAACTGCTGGGAAAACTGGTTAGCAGTCTGCAAAAAACTGAAACTAGATCCATGTATATCACCCTATACCAATATTAACTCAAAATTGGTACAGGAAAGAGTAGGAAATACTCTGGAGTTAGTAGGTATAGGTAAGAACTTTCTCAATGAACCCCAGCAGCACAGCAACTAAGAGATAGCATAGATAAATGGGACCTCATAAAACTAAAAAGCTTCTGTTCATCAAAAGAAATGGTCTCTAAACTGAAGAGAACACCCACAGAGTGGGAGAAAATATTTGCCAGCTATACATCAGACAAAGGACTGATAACCAGAATATATAGGGAACTTAAAAAACTAAATTCTCCCAAAACTAATGAACCAATAAAGAAATGGGCAAGTGAACTAAACAGAACTTTCTCAAAAGAAGAAATTCAAATGGCCAGAAAACACATGAAAAAATGCTCACCATCTCTAGCAATAAAGGAAATGCAAATTAAAACCACACTAAGATTCCACCTCACCCCTGTTAGAATAGCCATCATCAGCAACACCACCAACAACAGGTGTTGGCGAGGATGCGGGGAAAAAGGAACCCTCTTACACTGTTGGTGGGAATGTAAACTAGTACAACCACTCTGGAAAAAAATTTGGAGGCTACTTAAAAAGCTAGACATGATCTACCATTTGATCCAGCAATACCACTCTTGGGGATATACCCAAAAGACTGTGACACAGGTTACTCCAGAGGCACCTGCACACCCATGTTTATTGCGGCACTATTCACAATAGCCAAGTTATGGAAACAGCCAAGATGCCCCACCACTGACGAATGGATTAAGAAAATGTGGTATCTATACACAATGGAATTTTATGCAGCCATGAAGAAGAACGAAATGTTATCATTCGCTGGTAAATGGATGGAATTGGAGAACGTCATTCTGAGTGAGGTTAGCCTGGCCCAAAAGACCAAAAATCGTATGTTCTCCCTCATATGTGGACATTAGATCAAGGGCAAACACAACAAGGGATTGGACTTGAGCACATGATAAAAGCAGAGCACACAAGGGAGGGGTGAGGATAGGTAAGACACCTAAAAAATTAGCTAGCATTTGTTGCCCTTAACGCAGAGAAACTAAAGCAGATACCTTAAAGCAACTGAGGCCAATAGGAAAAGGGGAACAGGTACTAGAGAAAAGGTTAGATCAAAAAGAATTAACCTAGAAGGTAACACCCACGCACAGGAAATTAATGTGAGTCAACTCCCTGAATAGCTATCCTTATCTCAACCAGCAAAAACCCTTTTTCCTTCCTATTATTGCTTATACTCTCTCTACAACAAAATTAGAAATAAGGGCAAAATAGTTTCTGCTGGGTATTGAGGGGGGGGAAGGGAGGGGGCGGAGTGGGTGGTAAGGGAGGGGGTGGGGGCAGGGTGGAGAAATGACCCAAGCCTTGTATGCACATATGAATAATAAAATAAAAAAAAATAAAAATAAAGAGAAAGTTTGGTAAGGCAGCTAATTATATGGAAGAAGGAAGGAAAAACACACTTTTGGTGAAAAGCTTTTGGGAACCATCTGACTAGGTATAAGAGCCCAGGCGCCTTTGTCAGGTAATCAAAAACAAATTGAATTCTCTTGAACTTCTCTACTTGAATGCCATGGAGGCAGGCTTTGGTATGCTTCTGGACAAGCATAAACTCATTAATAAGTGTTAGCTAATCTCACAAGAATAGTTCGTCTCAGTTTATTGTGTTGTAGTAACATTGCTAATCTGCATCTCTTTTCTTTTTCCTAGTATTATCAATGGCTTTGCTTTACCTCTTAAGGCAGAACACAAACAGTTTCTGGTGAAAGTGTTGATCCCTTTGCACACCGTCAGGAGCCTGTCACTGTTCCACGCACAGGTACAATTTTAAAGTGCAACTTGTCCCTCCCTCCCTCCTTCCTTGACAGGCTCCCCCACGGATCCCTCAGCTGGTCTAGAACTCACATTCTCTTCCCTGAGCCTTCCAGGTGCTGGGATTACAGGTGTGTGCACCCTGCTTAAAGTGCAGCTACTTTTGAGCAGAGTGAAGTTTATAGACTAGTGAAGTGGCTCAAGTAGTAGAGCATTACTTAGCAAGCTCAAGGCCCTGTGTTCAAACCCCAGTGCCACCAAAACAGTATGCAAATGTTTCTTTTCATATTGACATTTCCTTAACTTAACAGAAACAAAGAGGCTTATTAAAAGTTTAAAATACTCTCTGACGAAACTAAAAATGCATGAATTTTTTTCTGTGCACCATAGAATTATGGGAATATTTTTAAGGGGGAGCAGCCTTTGTTTAGTCTGATTTGACAGACTAAACTTGGATGATTTGCCCAAGTTCACAAGATTATATGCTGAAGATACTGGCAGTGGTAGAATTTCTGTGGGTTCTTGAGATGTGGGTCTTTAGACATTGCGCAGTCATGTTGAATGGTCTTGAACATGTGGCTCTGGCCTCACCTTGCCTTTGTCTGTCCCAATTCTACTTTGTTCCTCATGTCTTGCTCAGTTTATGTACACAAATGGACACTCTCACAAGTACACGTATCTTAATTTTTTTTAAGCCTTCATTAGTTTGGAAAGCAGAACCTGTCATGTCCCCACAGTAATTTCTGTGTTAACACTGCCTTGCATGGAAAGCATGTCACTAGAAGGCAGGTAAATTGATCTAGTGATATTTTTAATTTTAGTATTTCAAACCTTTCTCCCTCATCCCTCCCATGACAGTGTTTTGAGTTTCCATGAAAATGTAATACATCTATGCAGTATTCCTCTTTAAATGTGAAATTCTATATTTCTAGGAAAATTGGCCCATATGTTTCTAATTTAGTACACCATCAAAATGTTGGTGTTTGTGAGGGTGGATTTCTTGTTCCGGAAACTTTACAAGTCCTTTACAAATCTTGCCTTTAGTTTTTGCAGTGGAATATCACATTTCATAACCATTGCAAAGAACTTATACTTAGATGTGTGAGCATCAACTGTGGCAGATACAGCCTTTTATGTCTTCATGAAACTACGTTAGTTTGCGAGTACCAGTGGAAGCAGTCAGCTGGGTGTTTAGAAAGTGCCTGTTTCCCTTGTAGAACTCTGCCAGAAGCACAGTAAAACCTCTGGCTGTTGATGTTAGCAAAGAGAAAGGAAGCCCATGAGTTATAGCCCAGAGTATATGCAAAGGAGATACTTTGAGAACATACCAAGTGTGATGTTTCACCTCTGCTTTTCATTAGCTGTATGTGGCATTTCTCCTTACTCTTAGAATTCTCTAGAGCTTTATTACTGTCAGCCCTGGCTTGTAAATGTAGCTTTCAGCTGGGCAAGTGGTTCCAGCTACTTGGAAGGCTAGGGCAGAGATCGCCTGAGCCTAGGAGTTTGAGGCCAGCCTGGGCAACATAATATGATTCCATCTCAAAATGAAATTAAATAAGAAGTAGCTTTTTATTTTGCTTGATATATTTTATTTTTATGATAGTTAAAATGAATTGATTGCTAAATTTAAACCAGAGTATGGAAACTTTTTAGGAAGTTTAAATACTTTTATCTTTTGAGCCCTTAGTATATGGAATTTAAAATGTCTTTTACTTTTTTGTTTCTTTAGTTGGCATATTGTATAGTACAGTTTCTGGAGAAAGATCCTTCACTCACAGAACCAGTAAGTGTTTTTCTCATAACTTCAAAAAACTTCAGTAAATGTACTTCTCCTAAAAGTGTATATGTAAGGTTAAATGACACTTGTTTTTTTCTCCTTTTCATTTTAGGTTATTAGGGGGTTAATGAAATTTTGGCCTAAAACGTGCAGTCAAAAAGAGGTAAGTGCTTAATATCAAAGAGTATCAGTGGTTTCCTAAGTCCTTTCTCAGGTGCCAGATATTGGACCAAGCATGGAAAAAATACATTATCTTGCCAGGTATGGTGGCTTACATTTCAGCTACTTGCTACTTGGGAGGTAGAAATAGGACGATCATGGTTTGAGGCCAGCCTGGGCAAAAGCTTGAGACTCTATACAAAAAGGAAAAACTACAGCAAAAAATGCCAGAACACAAAAAAACCCATGAACATCATCTCATCTCAACTTTGTTTGTAGCCCTGTGAAGCAGGACTTTTAGTATTCTCATTTTTCTAGTGATGAAATTGAGGCTTAGAGAGGTTGGGTAGCCTGCCCAAGCATACTAAATGATGTCTTAGTGGTAGAAATTTTGCTGCCACTGTTGATAGATGCAACTGTAGATAGAACAACTTGCTCACATCCCCTCTTTGAAGCATAGTAGAGTTGGGATCATACTATGTAAGATTACTATGTGTAATCTTCAAATGTACAATAGAACTTTAGTTTTAATTAGTCTCTAGTGACAACCCAGGAAGGCTCTGGCCTATAATCATTTGAACCTTTGCTGAGCAGACATTGTTGTTCCCCACATGGTTGTGGGGAAGAGTGAGTCTCCAGCAAGTAGCTTGGAGCTGAGCCTAACTAACTCTGCCCAGCTCTGAAGCCACTCTTTTGAAAGGTTAGAAACCAGGTGCAGCGTTGCCTGGAAACAGAGGTCAGCTGTTGGGCTTATATTTTGGGAGAATTTTGAAAGATTGTCTATATGTATCTTAGATGACAAGAGTCTACAGGAACCTCCTTCTCCAGTTAGCTTTAATTTTCTAACCCTGCTTTGCACAATTTCAGAAAGTCATCTTAATAGCTGTTAGGTAAAATTAAACTGCATTGCTACCCAGTGCATCTCAAGATCTGAAAGCAGTATCATTTTTCATATGTTAACTGCATACTTAATTTCTCCCCAAAGTTACTCTTCAGGCTAACTAGGTAACTTTTTTATTTCTCTATCATTTTTGTATTACATTGAATACAACTGACCAAATCTACTATTGATCTGGCTCTCTTTTGTAATCTAAAGGCTGTGTTCTCTAGGCACATTGTCCTAAGGTCATGAGAGTCACTGTGCTCTGCAGAGAGAGCTCTGTGTGTGTGTGAGAGAGGGGAGCGAGCAAACATAGATCATACATAGTCAGCGTGTGCTGATGGGTTAATGTGATACCTTCATGTGGGTGAGTTAGGTTATTTGTGTTTCTAGCACTTTTTCTGTTCTAATGACTGATGTATCCTAAAGAAGCATGTAGCAGGGACCATAACTGCTTGGCAAATGACTGCATGGTCTGCTGTAGACTTTTGCACATCCATGCAGGAGGGCCACTGCCCACCCTCCTGGTGTTTTTGTTTTTATTTTTAAAGGATGGGTAAGTGGGTTGCTAGCAATAGAGAGTCTGAGAGGCCTTTGGGGAGAGGCCTGTTTCCCAGGGCCTAGTACAGTACGTAAGTGCCCTTGCTCCATATATGACATATAACATGTCATATAATAGCATACTTTTTTTCAAAGTAAGTAGAATTATATTTTCAGTGCTCTAGGGAACTTACTTTTAACAAAGTGCTGTGTAGTGAATTTTGAGATGAGCATCTTCTAACCTGGGATAGTGGCTATTTCATTTGGTTTTGGTTTTGTGTGTACATATTTCTTAAAATAGTGTAGACTCATTAATTCTCATTGATCATATGGATTTTTTTTTTTTTTTTTAATGAAGTGCCTCACATTTTGTGTTCGGTTTCTATTTACAGGTCATGTTCCTTGGGGAACTGGAAGAAATTTTGGATGTGATTGAACCATCTCAATTCGTTAAAATTCAAGAACCTTTGTTTAAACAAATTGCCAAGTGTGTATCTAGCCCCCATTTTCAGGTTAGTCGTAAGGAAGACATGAGCCAGTGTGGCGTATACAATGCAAATTATTTTAGTTGAATTTTATTGGTGTTGAAAGAAATGTTACGGGCTATTGCCACTTGATTTTTAGTTGCTATTTTTGTTATTTTATTTGCTATTTTCTCACATGACAGCAATAGTCTTAATAAATAGCCCTCTTTTGAGCACCTGCCACCTAACAGGTTGTGTGATACCCTGCAAGGAGGGCATTCCTGTATTCACAGATGAGAACACAAAGCTCAAAGTGGTAAATAACTGAATAAGTGAGCCAGTTGGGTTGGTAGATGCTTTTTGTACCATATGTATAAACTTCACAGTATCCAGTGAAGCTCTTTTCCATGTTTTAGATTGAGGCTCAGAGAATGCTTTGCTTAAGGTCCCAAGTTAGTAGGGAATGGAGTTAAATTTTGATATTAAATGTAACTACTTGCTGAAGCCCATGACTTTCCCATGGCCTACTCTGCCTCCTTGTGGCCAGTTAGTGAGAACACAGGGAAGGCAAGCCTGGGCATTTGTTTTCCTTCCTGAGGCCCTTGGTTGAACACACATTTTGTTTTGCTCTCTGGCTGCCTTACCAGAGGTTCATCTCACAAACCTAAAGGATTGACTACATACTGCCTATTATTTTGATGATTGTTCAGTTGTAGTTCAGAGCACAGAAGCATACCTCTAATGGGGTCATTTTGTGGTGGACTTCCCCTAAGCTGTCACGACACTGGCTGTTGTTTTAAATTTTTTATCTAAGACATATTAATATGTCAAAGCAGTGAGCGTATGACAATCTAGAGGTTGCACTACAAAGAAAGGGGGGAAAAGTAGAAACCATTACATGACGTACTCACGTGTCTGTATACAAATAGAAAAATTCAGAATAGTATATAGATATTTTGGATATTACACAGAACCTGTAGTGCTTAAACATCTGGATTGTTTACCTTATTTTTCCATTTTCATGAGGCTGTTTGGTATAATGGAAGCCAAAGAACAGGACTCTGTTTCACAGTGAGTATTACCAGGGAAACTTAAATGGTGCTCAGAAGCTTAGACAGGAGAAACAATGTGTTGGTCAGCTCAGGCTGCCATATAAAATAATACTATAGACCCAGTGACTTAAACAACCAAGATTTACTTTCTCACAGTTCTGGGGGCTGGAAGTATGAGATCGGGTTGTCAGCATGAATGTTTCTGGTAAGGTCCTGCTTTCTGGCATGCACACTGCCTTCTTGCTGTGTCCTCACATGACCTTTTCTTGATATGTGCATGCAGATTGTTCATTCTGCTCTTTCCTCTGGAATATTCATTTATCTGATAGGACTTCTCTCAAAGTTTACATTGGATAGAGCCATAGATGCTCCATTTCTGCACCAGTTTATGAACTACTTAGGGATAACAGTAAAGAGCTGAGAACAGAGACTTTGGAATCTGCTATTTTCTACCTCCGTGACTATGAGCTAGAAACTTACCTAGTTAAAAGCCTCAGTTTTCTCATCTGCAAAACAGAAAAAAATGGCACTAACTCTGAGGCTTAAAGGAGATAATATACACAGTGCCTGGCATGTAGTAAATATTCAGTAACGATTACTTTCTCTGTATTTTCAGGGTCTAGTGCATAGTGAATCCCAGCTTTTTTTTTTTTTTTTTTTTTTTTGAACCAAGTTGAGTCATGTAAAGGGAAAAGTTTTAATTTCTCTTGTGCTATTAGTGGATGTGGTCTTATACTATTTTTTCCTTTTTCCTAGTCTATATGAATGAAGGAAGCCACTTTTTTCCTTTCCCATATATATATAGTTGCCTTTTTTTAAAAAAAGAGATTTTAAGTTTTGTTTTCGAGGTGTTCCTTTAAATTCATAAAATCCAAGATGAACAATTTAGGCCTAGTAGGTCAAATAAGAAACATTTGGTATCATGGTGAACAGAGAATAGGGGTCTGAGATAGTAAGCAAGTGTAGGTCCAGCAATCATCTCCTGGCTTGTCCTGTCAAAGGAAGGGACTGGAAGTGAGCTCTGGGAGGAGCCTGGGCCCTAGACTTGAGTGTCCAACTTTTGCTGTTTAGCAGCATTGTGACTTTGATGCATTGCACACAGAGCACAGAGGTATGTCGTTATCTGTAAGATGAGGACAGTGGGCCTGCATCTTGGATAGTGATCGGGATGATGCCTCTTGCCTGCAGCGCTGGTTGGGTATCAGCCACAGGCAGTGCTGGGTTGATGTGGCTGTTCTGCAGGGATGCCCCATGGGTGTTCTTGACTATCCATTACTGAACGCCCACCATGTGCTGACTCTGAGGTTGATCTGAAGTGTGGGATGAGAGAGGTGAGCCAGAAAAGGGAGTCTGTCAGATGGGCTAACCTGAGCGGGAAATGGTGTGGTACGTGGAAGTAGGGTAAAGATGTTTGGAGCTTGGGAGCTATGTTGGGGACAATGTGAAATCAGATGAGATGAACAGGCTTAAAGGAGAATATAAATTAATAGGTTAAAAAGATAACTTTTCCTTTCTCAAATTGATGAGTCACTTTGGAACTTCCTGAGAGATTTAAAAACCTGCAAAAAATATAAAATGTGATTAATATTTAATTTGACTTTTATTTGAATGATTTAAAATTGGTCTTTTCAAATATTTTTGTTTGGAAACATTGTAATTTGTTTTATCTTTGTCTTTTTCTTTTCCCAAAGGTGGCAGAAAGGGCACTCTATTATTGGAATAATGAGTACATCATGAGTTTAATAGAAGAAAACTCTAATGTCATCCTTCCCATCATGTTTTCCAGTCTTTATAGGATTTCAAAAGAACATTGGAATCCGTAGGTTTTCAGTTTCCTTCCTTTCTTTCCTTTCCCCCTCTTCTGTCTCATCTTCCTCTCTCTGTCTCCTCTTCCTCTCCTTCTTTGGAGTTTTCTCCCTTCTTCTTTCCTCTTTTGTTTAATATAATGTCTTGAATAGTATGTGCCAGATGCTGTGTTTTTAAAATATCTCTTTCCTTGAGAGGCATCTTGACCTGTGTGTGACAGTAGCAAAGGCGTTTTGGGATGTGCTGGAGCCAAGAGGATACTGATGGAGTGTTGGTGCTCAAATTGAATCTTAAAGGAATTTGGCAGATAGTTGGAATGGGGAAAACCCTTTCAGACAGGGGTCCATACACCACATAAAAGATACAAAACTGTAAAAAGTACCTCAGTTCTGTGACCTGCGAGGTAGGAAGGGTAAAGGCACAAGGTGTTTGGGTGAGGGTGCTGGAATGTGAGGTTAGAAAAGGGAGTGAAGTCCACATGACTCTTCATGAGGTGGGTGACGAGGAAATACTGAAGGGTTAGGAGGAGGGCAATGGTCTGGACAGATTTGTATTTTATAGCAATGTTCATTTCCTACCAATAACTCACTCATTAAACAAATTCTGTAGGAGAAAAGTTTAAAATATTAAAGAAGTTTATCCAGTCCTATGAAAGTTAAAGCATTCTATATTTGAATGGCCTTACAAATCTCTCTATGGAGTTCAAGGAAATTTTATGTGGCTTTAAAGAATTAGTAGATGTAATTCAGTATATCCTAATATGTTTATCTTTAAAATTTTTGCATGTAATTGTAAAATATCAAGTTTCTTGCTTTTCAAACTTGCCAAATTTTATTAATAGAACTTTGAAGAAAGTAGTAAACAGTGAAGTCCCATTATACAGGTAGTTTCTTGAGGACCTAGAGAGTAGCTCCAGGGATGTCTGTAACAGCTCAGTATCCTGTATTTGGTGCTTTTCCATTGCTGTCTTTGTGAAGAAGGTCATTCTGGAGCCTTAATAGAAGAGAATTTAAGTTTTCCTTTTAATAGACACGGGGCAAATTTACATAGTAGGTACACTTTTTAGTAAGTGTTTTAAAAACATCAAACTCCTGGTTTATGTAATAAATGGCTTAATTTTTACCAATGTATTGGAAGCACATTTGTTGCAAAATGGAAGCAATGTTGTATAGTTTTGCACAGGGCAAAGCTATTTAAACTCTAGTCTGAGAATGTCAATCCCTCCCATGCTTATTTTGCCCAAGAGCTTTTTATTCCACTTGATAAAAGTGGCTAAGAGCACCCATCACCAGCTTGCCGGTTACCAGCATTACTGCTGGGTCAGCAAAGGGACTAGGCAGGAGTGGATGGGCTGATACAAGACACAGCTAGAGAAGTAGCTCATTTACATTGCCCGCCTCCAGGGCTTCATATGTATCTTTGAGTATGAATAACTTTAGCATATATGTCATTTATTTCCATGAGAACAGCTTCTGATTTTGAATTATGTATATTATTTTAAAAGCAAAAGCAAAATTTTATGAAAATTTAGGTGTATAAAGTTGATCCTACCACAGGTGCTTTTTTTTTTTTTAAAGGTTGTAGTTGCTTTATTTTTATACTTTTTGTTAGATGTAGTTATCAGGTGGCCATAGGCAAGTCTGTTCTGGTTACAATAAGGGCAAAATTAGATTTTTTTTTTCCTAATTTCTTCAGAAAAATCTCAAACAAAGCATTTAAATCTCCTGATACAGAAATGAACTGTAGGCTATTTCCCTTTGGCCAACCTACAAAGGGATGGAAACAGTTTGCAAAGGAGGAACTCATTCTGACGAAGTTGTGCTTTTGTCTTTACCATTCAGCCTCCTATTATGTAAGACTAACCAACACGCTTCCTTTTCTTGCTTCACAGGGCTATTGTGGCGTTAGTGTACAATGTGTTGAAGGCATTTATGGAAATGAACAGCACCATGTTTGACGAGCTGACAGCCACATACAAGTCAGATCGTCAGCGGTAACTTTTTAAAGCTTTTTGTCTGCCGTGCATTAAAGCTGTTGATTTCTTATTCTTTGCTGAAGTTGCCTAGTTGTACCCTAAATCATAAGCCTCACAATTTTGTTTACATCTTCATTTTTGTGTGCTCATTAGCTTTGTCTTTACCAGTGTGCCACCGAGTAAGAAAGCTTTGTGATGGTGTCATTTTGATAAAGCTTGCTTTCCTCCCTTCCTTTATTTCAGTTCTGCCTCAGGGTTAAGATCCTGGCACCTAACTGGTTGTTCAAGCCCACTTCAGGAGACCACCAGGAGTCGTTCCCATTGGACTAGAATTGGCTCATGTACTTCACTCCAGCAGTGAGATGGATCAGTCCTATTTGTCTGACTCTTGGGCACAAGAACTTACTTTCTATTCTAGGACACCACAAATTCATTACAATTTAAAGGACAGTGAAAGTAATATAGAGGTTGATAGTCTGGTATAGATAAATCTTAAAATGTTTAAGACTATTAACAGAGCAAAACCCAAAGGAACTGGCTACAATAAATGTGATGGTTTACCTTTCTTGATTTTACCTTTATGATTCTTCGATTTTCTTATTTCTTGTCCAATATGTCCAAAACACGTACATGGAGAGAGGTGAGACCACAAAGCCTGTGGTAGTTGAGCCTCTGGTGTGGCTCCAGTCACCTAAATGCAAATGTTGGCATGGTAGATCATAAAACCGTGGACCTTAGAGAATCCTGGGGGTACACACAGTTATGCCCACGAGCTTGCTGAAGCTCCTGCACAAAGCTTTGTGATTTCCTTGCTTCTTTGCTTTGTCTGACTTTGAATGTGTTACTTGTGTTTTACCTATAAAAAGAGCAATGAGGAGAAAGGCCATTGTAGGGATGTGTGTATATACTGGGGTTTGAACTCAGGGCCCTGTGCTTGCTAGGCAGGCACTCTACCACATGAGCCACACTCCTAGCCTGCAGGGATATCTTTTTAAGTTACCAGGGATGTGGTTGATGAGAAATAACTTAACTATAGGCTATGGAAGTAGTTAGCTGTAGACCAAAAGAGGGAGATTTTTTTAAACCACAATATTGGGATAAATATCAATTATGGGATGTTCTGTGCCACATTTGTAGCGTACATATTAGGTTTTAATCCACTATGTTAGCAGTTATTACAAATCACTAAATATATAATAATCCTCCTTACCCCAAACTTAAAATTTTAAAAAAATGTTATATAATAAAAACTTGAAGCTGGAAGACATATTTGAATACCATAATGCAGTATTAAAGAGCGTGTAACATTCAGAACTATAAAAAGCTCATTATTATCCTAGTTGAACAAAGATTGAATCTGTAGAATCCCATCAAGAATTTTGAAGGGGCTGGGAGGGTGACTCGGTGATAGTGTATATCTATTATACATAAGACCCTGTGTGCAATTCCTAGCACTGAATTAAAAAAAAAAAAGACCTTATTTCTAAAATCAATTGGTTCATATTTAATAAACTTCAGCAGTGAAATTGTTTTCTGATCATTTATCATCTAGACTAAATAGACCAGTCAGGAGTAGAAAAAACTGTGATGTTGATCCTGATATTATGGGATATTAAAACAATTTATACAGCTGGTAGAGGTGCTCAAGTGGTAGAGCACCTGCCCAGGAAGTGAAAGGCCCTGAGTTCAAACCCCAGTACCAAACACACACAAAAAATGTTATAGTGAGTAGGCTACTCAATGAGAGAAACTTTTTTATTAAAGCAAGGGAAATACTTTGTTGAATACTTTGTGAATACTTTGTAGAAGGGTTAACTGAATGATGGAAGCATTGGTTTCTCCACAGATAGGAGAATAGGAAAAGAATGCAGAGATTTATTTGGTACTGTCAGAGAAGAACTAAATATGAGATTTTACTTCTGAATGGCAAGAAGCTTATGGTTTCCATTCAGAGCAGATTTTTAAGTATTACAAATCCAAAAATGGTGGGTAGAATAAATATTTAGCACTGTTAGACACCTATGCCAACAATACTGCTACGTAAAATTAAAGTTGGAAGAGTATTGATAGTATCCACAGCATGACAGCAAGCTTAAGTTTTAAAATTCACCACCTATAGGGAGAGAGAAAGTGAGAAGGAGTAAGAGTGACAGTATGTGTATCTGAAATACTTAGAATTTTTAAAGATAAAGTTGTCAGTATGAAAGCTGTATGTTAAGTCATCACAAATTTCATCTGAAGGAAAGCCCTGCAGGACAAACTGCATTGAATACAATAAGACTCATGATAAAAACATGAGTAGTTTGCTTCAGTAATAAGATGATGAGTGTTAAGATAATTCAACACTTAATTTAAACTGTAAGTTAAGGCAACATGCACCTGACATGTTGAGCTGATTTTCAGTTGAATAAAGTTCCTAAGCCCTTGCTTACCATCCCCTTCTCCACCCCAATAAAAAGGTCAGATATATTAAAACTCAACAGATCTTAGAGAAGTGAGTCATATGCAGTCAAATCAGTGTGCTCATGGAACAGTTATTTAGACTAACATCTCCAAACTGTAGAGGTAAACAAAAAGCAACAATTTGCCTAACATTGAAAAATTTGGAATCCGTGATGATTAGAGGATTATGTAATCTTGCCTCTTACTGCCCTGTAAAGACAGTTTTTCTGGATTAAAGTTACCACATTGGTAAATGTTTGAAAACTATTATGACCATTGAAATTCCTGTTGTGCAGATTACATTTAAGAGAGCTAACTATGGGAAATAAGGCCTAAGTTGCCAAAATAAGAATTATGGAATGAAGGTATTAATTGCCATATTGTGTAATTCAACATTCCTGCAAGACTAATGGACTGAGAATATAAAATTACTTACATTTGGGGTGGGTCAGAGTAGAAAGATTAATTTCTATTACTGTAGATGTTAAGACTTTTCAAAAAATATTGATGATTGATATAAAAGGTATGAGACATTGGAATTACATACAAATTTCACTTAACCAATGTAGATTTTGCTGAGGAAAAATTACACTGTGGCTGAAGTTGAATCTTTACTAAGTGAGGTATTACAGGGACCAGTGCCCCCATGCCTGAACTGGGAAAGCCCTGTGTTCAGGAATTACTTGAATTCCTGTTTTATCATGTTATCTGGGCTTGCTTTTTAAGTGGGTCATTATAACATGAGGGATAGTGCAGTGAAATATTTCTAGTAAATGTGAATTAGTGCAGTGAATTATTTTAAATATGAATTTATTTAATTTATAATATAGTCATATTCTTTAATTATATACTTCCCACTTGGTTAATATTAAAACATCCTTTTTTTTAATACAGAAATTTCAAAATGTTTTCTGCAAAATAAAATTAGTTGACCCTATAATAATGCTAATGTTATCTAATAATGCTAATAAAAACAAAATTCCATCCAGACCATTAATTAAAACTGAAATCACAAGTTTTCAGAAGCTGCCAGAGAGTTTCAGTATACATGGTGTAGGAAAAACAGATCTGAATGTAGGAGAAAGATGTATTTTCTTAACTTTGTATCAATGTTATTTCTAGCATCCTTTTTGAGAGTTTATTTGGAGATAAAGAGAAAATTAAGTTCAATAAGGCCCCAAGTAAAATCACAAAGTGTCCTTGGTTTGGGAACTAATACATATAAATCATCCCCATTTTTATTTCTCAGTAATCTTGAAGTCAGTTTTCTGTATTAAGCTAAGTATAAAGGAATATTAATTTGAAATCTTAAAATAGTCTTGTCTTCTTCTCAGTTCATTAATACTGTTTCATACCTATATTAAGTGACAAAAAAAGAAACTCAAAAGGGAGAAAAAGAAGACCCCAAAGGCTCAGTGCCAAACTTCTAAAACATACACAGGGAAAAGTATGTCAGGGGTCAGTTATTATTGGATAGTCTCTCTCAACCTTCTTGGTTGCTTACATTGTTTTCTTTTTCTTCCTCAGTGAGAAGAAGAAGGAAAAAGAGCGTGAAGAATTATGGAAAAAATTGGAGGATCTGGAATTAAAGAGAGGTCTTAGACGTGATGGGATAATTCCAACTTAACAAAACTGCAGCAGCAACATTACTAACCTGTGGAGTCACACATTTATGTAGTAGAAGATGGAGCAACAGTTTTCTGTATTGTGCAACTTTACAGTAGATTTCACATTTGTTTCATTATTACAACAGCACTGTATATACCTGTCTCTAAGTAAAGGAAAAAAATAAGGACTTCAATCCAAAGTTTGGACAGTAGATGGACTTCTCAGAACTTTGCAAACATAATCATTGTTCTAACCCTCTTTAAAACAAAGAAAAAAAGCAGTCTTCAAAGATCTGTTGATGAAATTGCTATGTTAAAATTCCATTATCAGGAGTTCCTTATTTATCACTAGCAGAGAATATGATACAATTTTCAAATGTGAACAATCTTAAATTTAGCTTGTCTTTCTGCTAAGCTGTTAAATGTATTTATAGTAAAGGAAGAAAAAAAAGACTGTCATTTCCTTATAAGTTTGTATAACATCCTCCTCTGGATAACTTGGCTGTAATTTGACATCTTTTCCTTTTGCACATCTTCATGAGTTGAATGTCCACATGGAAAGGGGCCATGAATTACAAAGGCCACTTGTGAGCGTTTTGTCTACTGGGGTGAATATCTTTCCAGGAACCAGGTAGTCCTGGTGAAAAGAGAAGAGGTGATAAACATAGTAGGGAATGGAATTTTGGATTCATGCATGAATTTATGGTGAATCCAAATCAATGTCTTGAATCCTTTGAAAACAGGCACTGGACCATCACACGCTTTAGTGCCTGACCAGTATTAGTTGCATTCATCATTGAACATACATACCAGAGACAGTTTAGAAATGTCAGGAAAAACATCCTTTTGGACCATAAGAAATAAGAAAAACACTAAACAGTACAACCATGAAATTGATTGCCAGGATAGTGAATCTAATTGGGAAAAGAGTTGAGCAAACAGCTTGGACTGTTTGGAGTTGTTGCCTTACTTTTTAATATGTATTTATAAAGTATTCCAGCAAAAGAGGATGTAGCCTCTGGGAAAAAACCAAACATGTTACAGTGTTTTTTGTAGATTCTTGTTCTATATCTCATCACAGTGCCAGCTAGCCCCGTTTTTAGCCGGAAAGGATTCAGGATAAAACTGTGCACCCTGAATGGGATGCATATTCCTAACTACTGTATTTGTTACCAAAAGAGGTTCTACAGATGCTACTGAAAAAACCTGCAAACTCCAATGTCCTGAGTATTAATAATAAAGTTGAAAAATGCTTTTCTATAAAAGGTGCATCATGACCAAATTGTTTAAGAAAAAACAGAAACAAACGAAATGTAGGGCTGTATTATAGATGTATCTTCTTGCTCTCTGCTTTGTATTAAAAGCAGAATCATACATCTTGGGTAGTAAATTGCTGATAACACTGTGTGCAGTATGTAAGTACCCAGTGTGGCTTCATTGTTACGTACTGAAAGATGTGTGTTTTGGGGATTTGTTTCCAGGATGCATTGGCTTGTGACGGACATGGCAGCAGTGAGTTGATAATCCTAAACCATCACTTCCAGCAGTGTTCATGGTGTGAAGCTGATTCTGTGTTCATATGTTGAGTTGTGATCCTAGCAAACATATGAACTGTCGTTGCTCCTAATAGAAATACAGTCTAAATACGGGCTTGTATATTTTCTTCCATCCATTTAACAATTAAGTAGAGTGTACAGTTCTGTTTCCAAGGAAGGGGGGGCAGGGGGCGGGAAAGACACTGACCTTTTTCCCCTATGAAGTGTTTACAGATTATCAGGTCACAGTGTGTGTGCACGTAAAAGTCAGCTAATTATGGATGCTGTCATTTAGGTAACTGTTAAAAAACAAACCCACAAAACTTGGTATCGTTAATTCCCCAAAACAGATAACACTATAAAAGTCATATGCAACACCAAACACAACGTGGTTTAATTGGATTTATAGATTATTATTTTTTTAAATACATTAATAAGGATTCATTGTAATGTTAGCAGAGCCTGCCAAAAATGAAACAATTTACTTTAAAAGTGCTGGAGCAAAGTTCAAATACTAATGATAAATAAATTTGTAACAGATGTTCTCTTTAGCCCTTTTGATTTTAGCTCCTTAGTTTTAACTCTGCATTGCATTTATTTTTGATAGCATAAATTTTTGCTTGCTATTAATCCATCTTTCTTAGCTAGAATACATTAAAGTCACAGGTTTATGAAGAATCTCTGCCTGTTGAAATGAAATGCAGTCATTTGAAATGAGAAAGGCCAGGTCCCTTTTGGCACCTTACTCTGTCTTGGAGTTAAGGTGAAAACAGCACAGATATCCTTGACGTCAGTTTTCTATGTTGCTCATTCCAAACTGAGAAGAATGAAGCCAAGTTTTAGACATAATTAAAGAAGCAATTAGAGCTATCTGTCTTAAGATTCATAGGCAACTTCTGAGAAGAAACACTGTCTTTTTTTTTTTTTAAACTGAAAGTGACAATGTGACATTTGTCATGTTGTGTGTGGTGACGCGGAGTAACTGAGGTAATCTGTTGCACTATGTGACATGTAAGGACATACTTGCTGCATTTGCAGCAGCCCTCTCTCTTTGTCCCTTCTGCACAATTCTGCTGTTGCCGCAACTTGAGTTAATTGTGACAGATGCATCTTTGTGTTATATTTTGTTTGCTTCATAGTTTCCAGAACTATATATAAATATATTTTTAAATAGCAAATATTGTAGTTAGTGAGTGATGATCGCTTCAGTCTGATCCCTACCATATTGGTTTCAGGGATAGGAGTAAGAGTTGTCCTTGGAAGAAAAAACTGCACACAACCCCGTGGTTTAGGGTGATGCTGAGGCCTTAGACTGTGGGCCTAGAACAACCACGCAAGCGAAGTACCCGTCTCCTTTGAATCAAGCATGCATTCCTTTTTCTCATTGTGCAAGTGTCTTCAGGTGTTTGCCTTCAGTGTTTAGTTTTTGTCCTTTTCAATTTATCATATTTTGCTCTCCCTAACATCTGACTGTTTTTTATAAAATAAAAGAAAAAATGAAAAGTAAGAAATAAATAATACCTTCGATGCCGCTGGAGCCTCACAAGCAGGGTTGTGCTCCTTCGTCTTGGGCTTGTTTGCCTAGTGGAAGGATTTAATTTATTTTGTACCTCCTATATGTGGGGCATTCCGGGATGCAGAGCTAGGAGCTGCTGGTAATTGCACCTGCTATACCTAAATGTATAGCCCTAGGCTCAAAGGAAAGGAATTTAAAAAGTATATTTAGAGCTTTCAAAGCTTTTTTATTTTTTTGTGGGATTGGGGGGTGGGAAAGGGATATGTGGATGTTAGGATGTTATTGGCATTTTTAAGTGTTCCAGGTTTTTTTCTTTTTTCTTTTTTCCAGTTTTATTTTTTTCCCTTTAATTGGATGCACTGGCCTGGCCCAGGAAATGAAGAGATTCTCTCTTTTGATGCTGTTACCAATGTTACCACAAAGTGACAAGTCACCTGTAGCAAAAAAGGTGGCACCAAACATGATCAATGAGATTTATTTGCACATGGATATTTTTATTTTTGTATTCTGGCTCAGCTGCTTCTCTGAGTGGAGTTAAGGAACGAGCCATAAACAATTTTTGTAATTGGTATATTGGCAATGCATTTTATATTTCTCTATTTAATTTTTAAAATCTGAAAGAAGGATTGTGCATCTTGAGAGAAAGTTGAGCAAACTTTGATCTAGCAGAATGTTAATTTGTGCTGCTTCCTGTGCACGATAGCAGCAATAGTATCTTTCTTGGAAATGAACATCCCATTATTATGATGTCTATGAATATAGGTTTCCTTTTCTTCTTCTCTTCTTCCCTCCTTTCCCCTTTCTCTCCCCCCTTCTCTTCTATTTCTTTTCTTTCTCAGCCCCTCCCTCCATTACTTTTTTTTGAAATCATTCACTGTAAATAAGTTGTAATCCAAACCTCATGTATTAATGGGGAACTTTCAAATATAAATATTATCAATACATTTTCTGGTTGTTGTCTGCTTTTTGATTGAGTATAACGAGAATGACATGTGCATTGCTTTTGGTTGGAGGACTTTGCTTCAGCTTTATAACTCTCGGTATTTTAGTATTTCATTGTTTTAGCAGGAGAGGGCAGCAAAAGTTCATTTTCCCTGTTAGTAATGCTGTGGTTCTTGATTGGCTTAAACTTAAACTTAGCTGTGAGTGTGTCTGTGTGTTTTTTAAACAGCATCTGTTTGTGGGTAGAGGAAAAAAACCATTTTTTGATATGAAAATTATAGACTGGTTCAACCAGAGTGAAGACTTCTGATCCACATCAAAGTGAAAATGCTACAAAACCATCTTCCAGCTCTGGCTAAAACATGCTACTTCCCTTACAAAACAACAGAATGCAAGCTGAGTCTTAAGCACTTGGAATTTTAAATGTTCTTCTTTGGAAATGATTTACTCTCTTCAAAGTGGTAACAGAAACAAAAGTGAAGGTGCTCCCCAAAAGAAATGTAACCTTCCCTTTCACGGATGTGTGAGAGGTTCTGTACTGTGGGTGCGTCGTAATAAAGCAGCGGTGAAGTTTTCAGGTGCCTCACTTTGTCTTTGTTTCTGACCTTTGTGGCCTTTAGCAGTCATACAAATAACAGATTTCATTAGCTTAGCCTTGCGGCAGTGGGGTTGGTGCACTCAGGCTTTCGTTACGAGACAACCGGTTTATGACTTAGGGCATAATATTGGGGAGTCGCCCAGTGTCTTGCTGTGTAACAGACTGCTGTAAAAGTTAGTGGCTTCAGACCACAACAGTGATTTACTCAGTTTTCCAGTCTATAGTTTGGAACAGGTTTGGCAAGAATATCCTCAAGTGTCCCCTGGGGTATCTAAAGTGGGGCAGAAAGTTCAGTTCAGCTCACCTGCATGGCTGGCAAGTTAGTGGTGGCCCTTGGCTTGGAGTTCAGCCAGGGGCCTCAGTTCCTCCATGTTGAATTAAATTGCTTATGTTTTGTATTTAATCTGAGTTAAGCAGGCAAAGCTCTTTATAGTTTGAGCATAACCATTTTTGGCAACTTAGAAATGTATAACAAAAACATTTAGAGTTCAAAAAGACTTAAGAGGCATTTTCAGTAGAGTGTTTAATCCTTTGCATTATATTGCCTTCTGCCTATAAATAGATAGTTACCAAAGCGAAGGCAAGGAATGTATAGCTCAATTCCTGTTTCACAGCTTTTTATAACGTGTCCTGCAGGTGCCTTAAATTGGTTACACTTATTTAGCAGATTACAGGGTCACTAAGGGAAAATAAAATTTGAATTTTTTGAGTATGGTATATATTCATTATCTAATACACATTCTTGAAAAGGATCTTTTTTGAGCGTATAATCTTAAGAAACCTTTTTCTCCTCCCCACTTCTCATTCCAAGCCAAAAAAATAATTATTTTTTTGTTTTGCGCCAAGCTTGACAATTTTAGCTTCTGTGTTTAAGTCTGTGATTCACCTTGAATCATTTCCTTGTATGTAGGCTGTCATGTAGGAATCTAGATCCATTTTTTTCTCATATGTTATTACAGCACTAGTTGTTGAAAAGTCTCCTCCAAACATTGCTTGAGTGCCTTTGTCAAAAAGGTACCATAAAATTGTGAATTTACATCTGGTTCCTTATTCTGTTCCAGTGGTTGATTTGTTGATTCTTATGCCAGAACCAGCCATGGTTGCTGCAGTTTTACGATGGTCTTCAATCAAGCTGTCTATGTCCTTCAGTTTTGTATTTCTTTTTTCAAGTTTGCTCTCATTAGCCTTGGGCTTTGCATTTCTACATAAAGTTTGGAAGCACCATCCAGCTTCCATAAAAAACAAATGCTGTGGGATTGTGATTGGATAACACTGACTCTGTAATTTTGGGGAGAATTTACATTTTGTTATATCTGAGTTTTATGTTCTGCTATGGTTTGAATGTGTCTCTGCAAAAGCATGTGTTGGAAACTTGATCCCCAACACTGTTGGGAGGTGGCGCCTAGTGAGGTGATTAGGCCTTGATGGCTTTGCACACTCGTGGCTGGGTTAGTGCTGTGGTGGTAGGATTAAAATCATTATTAAAGGGCAAGCTTGTTCCTTTGTCTTTCTCTCTCGCCCAGTCTCTTACTCTCTTACCTTCCACCATGGGATGATCTGGTGTCCTCGCCAGATGCCAGACACCTTGAAATTGGACTTCCTGTCCTCCAGAACTGTGAGAAATAAATTTATTTTCTTCATAAATTATGTATTATTTGCTGTTCTTATACAGCTTGTTTACATTAGCTAACATTCTTAAGCCCTGTTAATATTAGTTCAATTAATGGTCTTAAAGACTGTAGGATTTTTTTTTTTCTTTTTTTTTGCTGCTGTTAGTACTGGGGATTAAACTCAGGGCCTCCTGATTGCTAGACAGGTAAGTTAGCACTTGAGCCGTTCTGCCAGCCCTCAGATTTTTTTTAATGTAAACAGTCATGTTCTACAAATAGAAAATTGCACTTCTTTATTTCTGATCTTACATTTCTATTGTTTTTATTTCTTTTTTTTTTCCTTTCCTTATTATAATGGTTAGGTCTTCCAATACACTATTGAGTAGATGTGGTAAAAATGGGCTCCTTGCCTTATTCCTGATCTTAGATGGAAAATGTTCAGTATTTCTCCATCAAATAGAATGTTAGGGTAGGTTTTTATAGATTCC